TCACTTTTAGAGTGACCTTTTGCAGATATCTCGAAATTAACGATTCTTTAGACGCGTCTATATTACACTGAGATTTTAAGCGGGATCGTTTGTTTCGGATCTTAATAATTTTGTAAAGACTGTTTAGGTTTGCTTCACGGTCGGCAAGTCACCTGATACTTGTAAACTGGAGTGTATGATATACTCCAGAATTTCTTCACTTGAAAAATTTTTCGACGATTTGAAATTACGAATGGAAAGTCTGAATGAAAAGTTTGTTCAAAGTGGTACTCATAAGGGTCACAGCATAGCTGGGATGGTATGCACCACGTGAAAAGGGTCACGTCGTCGAGGACGAAAGTGACTTTCGTTCTCGGGTATCATTATCGTAAATCATCCAGCGTGTCTAATTTCGCCGCTTAACACAATCACTCCACATAACGCGTTTTTCATTACGCGAATCACTCGTAACTCCGTGAAATCGCGACGCTTCTTCTGAAAAGCGTCCTTTCCTTTCCGTTTTCACTTCCGATCCAATTTGATCGACGAGGAAGCATTTTGCGCGTTCAATTTCGCTCCTAGCCAGCCGTAGAATAAGCGGCCATTTCAGGAAGCATAAATTCGAATTGCCTAGAAAGTCGGTTGGAACCGTCAGAAACGTTTATTCCTCCACTTTTCTCTCTCTCTCTCTCCTCTCCTTACGAAAGTTAAGGGTCGAACGCGTAAAAAGTATGTGTTACAAAATGGAGGCTCGATTACTGTAATTCTGATAATTATTACGCTACTCGGAGGTGTAACAGGCGTGACGGGAAATCGGAGCTATGCCATCACGCAATTGTACTCCTTTTTCTTTGTCCTGTTGAACTTTTCGCAGATTCAGAAATCGGTCAATTTTTGTCCCGCTTCTCTCCTCTCGATGTTATATTGTATAACACACTTAGGCAGCTATACTTTCTCAATCAGGTGAATTACAGTCAAGGATATCTCGCGAGAGCTGCTTTATGAATATGAAAGAGACACGCTAGTGAGTCGATCGCAATCGTTTCTCGATGTTCGAGGGGAAAAAAGAACACGCGTGTGTAAGGCTATCCACCTTACGTAAAGGACTTTAGAACCATCGATGACTGCGCTCTATTGCAAATTTATAGTTCTTCGCAGACAACTTTCTATAAAAAATTATGCAACTGACAAAAAAAAAAAGAAGAAAAAATAGTACGTCGACCTTCTAGAAACAGTTTTTACTTCGTCAGCTTTTGCTGTTTCTAATGTGGGTCAGATTAATGAACGAGACAGTTGCTTCTTTTCGGACACCGAGTATGTTAGCAACGTATCGCGCGTTAATTCGTAGAACGCAAGTGACATTCCGATGATTAGATCGCAGTTACAGTTGAATCAGGTCATTCGACCATGGGAACTGAATTTTCTTTCGCTGTTCTTCTGTGCAGTTCGCGGTTTTCTGTTTGCTGCTTCTTCTTGGCCTAGGTCACTGTCAGGACAATGATCTTCCGTCGAGATTGGAGATCGAGAGCTCGATCAACCGCACGATCGAGGAAGTCGAGCGACAGGTTCGCGAGGACTCGAGCCTGCCTCAGCTGACGAGGCAAGAAATAGTGAAGATTCTTCAGAACATCACTTCTCAGGATTTGAACGAGTTCAAAGACAAAGCGAAGTTGGAGAGAGCGAGAAGTTTGTACCAAAGGGCGCTCATGGTCGTTCTCCCTTACAACGCTAAAGACTCCTCTGGAAATTTGAAAGATCTCTACACGAAACCGCCTATGACACAGATGATCCCTGATCCTTTCAAGTCACGGAACAG